TTCCCCTACTACTCCTGGGGGTTGCTGCCTGGAGCCCTCAATCTATCAAGATGTCCAGCACACCCTTCGACATGTGACGTTAATTTCAGTCACTTTATCTTGCATCCGCCTCAAAAGTCCAACATTTTTCCCCGTCAGATTTGGACAGCCATCAGTTGTAACACCTACCAGTTTGTCCCATTTTAGTCCCAGAATGTCCATGGCTGCATTTACCTCTGTAAACAAATCACTCCCCGTTGCAGTCCCTTTCATTGGCCGCATAGCTGCCAGCTCCTCCGTCATCTCAAAGTCTTTCATCAATCCATGAACAAAGATAAGTAATTGGGCTGTATCACGCATGTCACAGCTCTCATCCAGTGTCCGTTTTCTTTTGTAGTTGAAACACCAAATTCCCTGCAATGTTCTCGACCCGCCTCGTTAAAAAGCACCTCGAGAGAGACACATTTGCAAACGCGTCTTTTTTCTCAGGGCATATTAGCGCTGAAGACTACACCAAACAATCTTTGATGAACTCCCCATCAGAGAATGGCTTACTGTATCTTTTAATTTTGTGGGATATCACAAAGCTGGTCCTGACGGCTGCATCCCTGGATGAGTGGAACTTTGTAAAAAATCCTTGTTGCTTTTGCAGTTTAGCTAGCAAATGTTCCGATGCTCGAGCCCGCTCTGCATCAGTGAAATTCTTGAATTTTTCTCCGTGTTTACTCTCGTAATGGCAATTGTATGTTCTCCACACACTAAGCACACTGCTTTACGTTTGATTTCAGCAAAGAAATATTTAAAAGTCCATGCCTTGTTAAAAACTCTACATTCTGCATCAATTTTTCTTTTCTTGTTAGCTGACATATTTAAGACATACGAGCTAATTTCTTGGAAGCTGTTCAATTAAGAAAAACAGTGGCAGCCACTGTTTTTCTTAATTGAACAGCTTCCAAGAAATTAGCTTGTTGCTATGTTCGACTTCTTATAGCCGCTTAGAGCAATGCATTCTGGTCCTGACAATGCATCATGGTTAGTTTTTTTTTGTCCGACATTAAACTGGTGCTGCAGCCACCGGCAGGTCTCCCTCCACGTCTCGTCAATTAGTTGTCTTCAAAAAAAAAAGCCGTGTAATTGTATTTCGTGAACCTATCACAAAGCAGTAGTTGTCGCTACACTTTTACTACGAACTCACGCGGGCTGATCAAAGGTAGTCAGCGGGCCGGATGCGGCCCGCAGGCCGTAAAATGCCCAGGTCTGCTGTAGAGGCTGTTGGGATTGCTGCACTGTGCGGGAGTGGTGTAGACGCTGTGTGCACTTGTGTTGTGCGCCTGTTGAAGCGGTTGACTGGAATCATCTAGAAGCATATTTGAGTGTTTGCGTGTCAGTACGGTTACGTGGGTGGTTGTTGTTTCATTTTTAACTTTTATTTTTTTCTCGGTCTACGCAAGTAGTTGTCTGTCCTCCTGAGGTTTGCTCGGTTGCCAGTCGGGGCCGGGAGGACATCTTCCACTTTTTTCCCCGCTCCGGCAGTAGCCTGCTTTGAGAGGGTTTTTTGTGGTTTTTCGGCCTCCCTCGAGCAACTTTGCTTTAGTTTAGCTAAACGTGGTTCAGCAGGAAGTTAGTCTCGGGTAGGTAATTGTTAATTTGGTTATTTTAAAAGTTTAATTTTAAGGTTATTATCGCTGACGCTGTCGGATAAATTGGAACTTTTTTATGAATTAACGCGTGTTAATTTAGTGTTTTATTGTACTCGGCACTTTGTTTTAACTATACATTTA